GTCCTTGGTATGACTTTCCGGGTATGTGTGTGGTCGTCCTTCTCGATTCGGTGCCGGAGCGCACCATTTTAAAATTAAAAACCAAGGAACAACTACAATAGATACTCTAGATCCATCTCCTTGACCTTGATATCTTCCAGATGCGCCATTGTTGTTTTGGAAAATAAACACTCCCGCTGACACCGCGGAAGAAGTTCTCGTGACCATCCGCTGAAGTTCTAGCGAGTTCTTGAATAGGCTCCCCCTTGTGCTTTGGCAGGAAACTGCTGTGCATCCCTAGAAATTCCAAACCGACAGTGCAGAAGCATAGCAGCAAAACTGGTTCGTGACCAGACCCAAGTGACATTTGATGTGTGCGGTTGTAGAAGTATAATCCGCCCTTTAAGGTTTTGCTCAGAGACCCAGAGTGCAGGCTGTGTGGATCGAACCCGGTACGTGGAACCTTCTCAGAGCGCACAAGCACACTGCTCTGACCACTAGGCCAACACTCCCCATTACCTTGCTTTGTCAACTACAAAACAACTACAAAAGGGGGTAGCTGAAAGGTGACAAATAGTCATGTTAAAAACTGAGTACACCCCAACAACTTCATTTGATTGAAGGGGAAACTGCTAGCTTGGTGCACTTAAAGAATTGTACTGAATGAAATTTCATCTTGTATACACCCTGTATGTACAAAATGACAAAGTTTGTCTAAATCTAAGTCTACATATGTCTACATCACTGCATGAAAAATATAATCAGGGTTGCTTTCTTTTTCAGTTTTGTAGTCTGGAGCAAGGGTTGTGCTGTTGCCTTGCAGCAGTTTCTTGGTTTGCAAGACTTGTGAGGCTGTGTCCAATGTGTTCCCTATATACAGCACCCTATAGGGGTTATTTTGTTGCTTGTCTTTCACAACTGGATTTGGAAAACATTTATTTTCCAGTCAACTCTGCTGGATGTGAAGCAAATCAAGAAAGTGATTTGTCACTGCTCTACCGCTGCTGTGATTGGCTAACAGCTCAACATGGAGACAGGTGCCACTTGGTGATTTATCCAATCAGCGTGAAGAATTGTATTGATTATCCCTACCTTGGATAATGGATACTGTGTAGAATTCAAACTACACATATCAACCTGGCCAATGCCAGATTGGAGACCAGCACCCTTCCAGATGCACTTATTATAAACGTTCCGCTCTCTCCTAAACAAAAAAGTTAATTGTAATCTTGAATGGAAAAAAAGGTGACAAATTTTGGGACTTCTGTTTTCTTGTTCAGTTTAGTTTTTGTCATCCTATGATGAATTTCTTTCGGACTTCCAGTTGAATATGCTGAGCCTAAGCCACTGAAAAATGAAAGGACAAACTATTCGGCACAAGCAGTTTCCTTGTTGAGACAGATTAGGTTATCTTAAAAAGGTCTTATTTGGCTTCTCTTGCTCTCAAGTGGAAACCCCAGTAATCAGTCAAAGTTCAGCAGCTGCAGGGACAGAAGTGCTTTGGAAAGTGAACGTGTGTCCTGAACGCTTTGAAACCTGCTCCCCCACACCACAACCCCGCCTGGCCTGCTCAGGTTGGGCTTCTTTGCACACTTCTCAAGTTCCAAAAAGTATAAACCCCCCCAAAACACTCACAGACACACACACCTCCTCCTGACCTCAGCTTCGCCCTCCCTCCTCCGTGCTCTCCCACCCTCAGGGGTTTTAGAGAATCCAGACAAATGAGTGGAGGTGGCAGCAGAGCGTGAAAAGCGAGCTCCAAACAGCAGAGCCGACTAATCACAAGCAACAAGGACCATCTACAGAGCATCTGGAGGCGGAGAAGTTTCTCCTTCACCACACGTACAGGTCATCCTTCTACCCTCTGACAGTTAACAAGTTAGTGTCGACGGGTCGCCAGAGCCTCAGAGCTCCTTACATTGATTAGCAATAAGCCAACTGGAAGAAAAGAAAGCAGTAGGACTGCTGATGTTTTGAAGAAATGGATTGAAGGTGCACCAATGAGGCACTAGCTGGCCAATACTGGCCCTCCTAGTTCCAAGTTTGGCCAATTTCAACTTCTTTCTTAGAAATATTGCATCCAAACTTGTCTGCGGAACGTTTTTGTCAGAGCAAACATTTTTTGGAGTTAGGATTTTGTTAGGACTGGACAGACCCTGATCAGTTAAACAGCTGGTCAGAATACTGAACAGAGCTTCTCCTTAAGGCACAATACTATGAATAAATATTTAAAACGTAGGGCTGCAACTAACAAGCATGTTGCAAATCGACTTATCTGTCGATTGTTTTTTCAATTAATCGATTATTAATCGGATAGCCAAAGGTTCCTTAAAGAAGATTTTTTAGAAAATCAAACAAAGTGAAACTAGAACTTTCCACTTGAGGAGTTCTGGATTGAAAATATTGACAGAGATATTTTTTTTAAATCTAAAATGCAAAATGTTAATATTTTTTTACATTCTTGGCATAATTACAGCTCTAAGTGGGTTCCTCTGTCTACAGGTACGATTTACACTCTCTATACTCCAGTTAACTATGAATTGATTACTAAATTAGTTGATGATTATTCCATTAAGCGATTAATCCGATAAATTTTTTCAGACCTATCGGAACGTTGACATTTTTCCACATTTATATGGACTGACTTACAGGGGTATTCATCTGACACAAAGTAGTCAAAAAAATCAAAAAGTCGTCAAAAAAAGTCAAAAAAAATTAAGTCACTCAATTTATCTGCTAGCAAATAATGACTGAAGGCTGGAGCTCACTCATCAGTTTCCAGCTTTGTAGTGAAAACTTCGTGGAGATTAAAGCTTCAGCACCATCCCTGACAGGCTTCTATCACTTCAGCATTCTGCCACAATTTCCTCTGTGTGCAATGATTTGATGACCAGAGACTTTGTCATACTAACTAAATATTACATCAGAAATATGAAAGTTCACAGCACTTCATATACTTTAGCAAACAATTACTGTTAAAAATGTTGCACACACTGACCATATAAACTCACAATGTATTGTGCAGCATCCGCTTCCTTAATACTGAGTGCCTTTTTCTTATATACGGGAAAACTGTATGAAAATTTTATAATCCCAAAAAGGTCGCCAATATGTTCACAGGTCGGTTAGGAAAATCTCTTCTAAGAATGAAAACCTACCAATATGGCCTTTGAAGAAGAGTGCAAGGGAAACAAAGTGAGGTAAGTAGGGATAGAGAGCACAAGCAGATAAAGGTCAGGTGAGACCAAATATTAGCATCACAGCCTTCATGCAAAACGACTCAGAGCAAAAAATAATACCAAGTGTTATTGTGAACACACCATCGCCTCTTTGTCTCATGGTAGAGGCAGCATCATGCCGAGGGGCGACTTTGTTCTAGGCACAGGGAAGCTACTAGGAAGTCTCTAAGCAAACAGCCTGAGCAGAAAATCTTTGTGTGTTATAATGGTCCAGTAAAAGTGCAGACCTTAACCCAATAAAGGGCATACAAAGATTGATTCTACTTCGTCCTGTCCCGTTTCCACAGATAAATGTTTAACATTATGTCTTTTTTTTTATTCTTTTCAATCATCAGTCTCTATCGCCCATGATTCCATTAGGCTGTTCATAGTCGTTTCTGGTATTTAATCATCTGTATTTTGTTAGACCAGGCGTGTCAAACTGGTTCCAGAAAGTGTTGTGTATCATCAAGTCATTATGTTCAGATTGGACTCCCCTGATGAGGTGACTTGAGTCTGGTGTGCTATTGCTTGGTTGGAAAGAAAACCTGCAGCCATACGGCTCTTTCTGGAACCAGTTTGACACCTGTGTGTTAGACCATCACTAGTCTTTACATAGTCCAAGTCAGGCATGTCCAAAGTCCGTCCTTGAGGGCCGCTGTCCTGCAGGTTTTAGAGATTTCCCTGCTTCAGCTCAGCTGATCCTGATGATTGCAGTGCAGCAAAAGCATGCATAAAACCTGCAGGACAGTGGCCTTCGAGGACCGACTATGGGCATGCCTGATCCAAGCGAACCATGCAGGGCAAAGACTTGCTGCGATTACAGCTGGAGTGCAGACTTGTAACTAGTTCTTGGCTGTGCTTTGACAGGCAGGGCACTTTTAGTAAACTATGTTTAGGCAGATCAGCAGTGTGCAGCTTGTGTATATAATACAGGGTAAACGAGGCAACAGAAATTACCATCCTGTGTTTTAAATTGGAGCCTCCAACTGCACTATTATTTCAAGCTAATTGTTGGGCTTCTAATATGGAGCAAAGGTCGTGTTTTGTGCAGAAATGCAAAAGGTATGATAGTTAGATGTTTGATTAGGGTGGACAAACAACAGTAGCTTTGCTTTAAATAAAACCTGCTATACTTTGCAGCCAGAAATGCACATTTCCAGGACAGGGGGTCAGTCTAAGCTACGAAAAGAAGATTGTGCAAAAGCTGTAGTTAAAAATATGATAATGGGAGAAAGAGGGCTACAGGATGGAGGAAAGGAGGCCAGCAAAGTCTGCAGCAATACCTTCTCTGATTGTTTGCTATCCTTAATTACCAAGAATGCATCAAACTTTCAGTGGCAGAGAGCCGCCTGTGCAGGACTGGATGTTGTCAGCGAGGGAAAAATTGCCATAAATCAAAAAAGGAACCTGGGCTTTAATTCAACAAGCAGCTTAGGTGGAGGTTGGAAAAATAAATCTCTGCTCCCTTCAAGAAAAAAAAGAAAAAAACAAACAAAAAGCTCCATCTTGACTTCTCTCCTGCTTATCAAAGGAATTCATCAACATTCCTCCCTGCAGATGTTAACTTTCTTCTGGAATGATGAGAGCGAGTTAAAGGAAGCACACTGTGAAGTCTTATGAGTATTTTTTTCTCCTGAAACTCTCATGGTAACTCCTCATGCCGAGAGAATCAAGAATGCATGTTTATATAAAACAGCTGCAAAGCCAGAGGAGAAAAGAACAAAACCGAATCCTCTTACTGCCCTGTGCTCGAGCACGGTGGAAGTGGACGTGCTCTGTGGTGTGGATTTAAGCCCTCACCTGGATGAGGCACTTGCTGACGTCGCTGGCGCAGAGGGCTTTGTTGCAGCCGGAGGTCAGAGAGAGTCCTGACAGGAGGAAGAGCAGAGCTGCTGTGGAGGGGAGGATCAGCTGAGCAGACCTCATCCTGACAGTCTCACCGGCACGCAACACCTTAAAGAGAGAAAAAAAAGAACATAGCCCGATTCTAATTCAAGAATTGCTTTCTGCCAAACAGTTCAGAAGTTTTAGGAGTCAAAGCAGCTAAAGTACAAAGAAAGGTTCTGAAAGACCTACATATCTATGAAGTAGAAGGAAAATACATGCATCTCTACATTTATTATTCCAGATAAAAAAATCTGAATGGTGTCCTGTTTTTTTTTTCCTTTGTCCTAGCATGGTTAAGGTAGCAAAAAAAGCAGCCAACATTTGGACGCTCACGTCGACTGGCTGACCCGTTAAGGACAGCATTAAACTGTCAAAAAGCTCAAAAAGAATTCTGGATCATCAGCTAAAGGGAGGACAATTATTTGTGATGCCATTCTAAACACGCCATCTCTGTTCTGAAGCAAAGTGGTGGCAGCATCATGCTGTGTGGATGATTTTATTATTACCGTAATAATAATAATAAAATGATAGATGCAGCTGAATTCAGGTCAGAAAACCCAGGAGGAAAAACAGTTAGAGGCTACAGACAACCTGAGAAGTTCACTTTCCAGCAATCCTCAAAACAAAAATACTTTAGCAATCCCAAAGGGAAATTAAATGTTGCAGTAACTGATAGGTTATTTTTTAAACAGGTTTTGTAGGTGTTGATATCTGTAGGCAGGAAGGATCTCCATAAAGGATGTCCATAATATTCTTCCCTTTATGAAGAATTCTTCTTTGTAAAATAATCTCCAGACATTCTAGAGGATTTCCTACAACAGAGTCCAACTTCTTAATTAGTTTGTTGAGCTTTTATAAGTCATTGTCTCTGATGCTGTTACCCCAGCAGAGATTACACTCTCCACAACAGACTTCTAGAAGATATGTAGCATCTTACTGCAAACGCTGAAGGACCTAAGCTTCCTTAGGAAGTACAGTCTGCTCTGTCCCTTCTTGCAGACAGTTGTGTCTGCAGTCTAGTTTGTCGTCCAAGTGAACACCAAGGTATTTATACTCCTCCACCACCTCCACTTCTTCTCCCAGGATGTTAACAGGATTCAACTTGTTTCTGTTTCTTCTGAATCTCCAATCATCTCCCTTGTTTTGATGAAATTAAGGATCAGAATGAAAAAAAAAACTACAGCAAGAGAAACAAAGGTGTCCCTGCTGCCAAGGCCGACAATGAATAAATAAATAAATGGGTGATTAGAGGGTTTAATGGCAAGCTGGTGAGGCAATACAGTCATTGAAACCAAGTCATGTGTTAGAATAGTATAGTCAATTAAAAACTGTCTGTGGAAAGACTTGAAAACTGATGTTTAAAGAGACCAAGACCTGCCACATTGTTTTTATTTATTTTGTTTTTAATTTCTCCTTAAAAAATGTTATGGTGGCTTTCTAACATCTGGCAGTAAGAGGACTGTAACAGAATGAAAACTTCATTTCAGTTGCTTTTTGGTTCATTTCAAAACTGAAAACATAGACCTGGGACTCTTTCTGTGCTAAACCAATCTCCTTGGCATCCATAATCTAACTTTAAATCTGAAAGGTCAAACAACGAGGGCTAATTGCCCTGTAAACGCTGTGGAAATGACTGCTCTGTCATGCAAAACACTCCTTTCTCCAAAGGAAAGGAAAGAAGGCAAAGAGAAGAAAAGGCCTGCAGTCACATCTCATTCAAAGCCAACGCTGCTGTTGTGGAAGAAATATCAATATGCGCAACACATCTGGCAACATCAGCTGCTTTCATCCATTTTCTGCCCGCTTTTCCAAACTCACCCTGCTCTGGATTTCTCTTTTCTTTTGTTTCCACCTAAATGCTCAGATTGTCTTTACTTCACATGAGGGAGAGAAACATGTGAGGGACATTAGCTCCCTCATTCCTCAGCGACTTTCTGGTTTTTTTTCTTCTTCTTCAAACCTCATTTTTAGTTTCACTCGCACGCAAACGCAACACCAGAGAATAAACAGAGAGCTTTGAACTCACCTGAACGCAGCAAAGAAGGTCTCAGTGAGTCCTTTGGAAAGAGACTGAGGTTGTTTTGTTTTTGAACTCCTCCAGGATGGTGATCCGTGTCCACTGTGTCCACAGGGCGTCAGTCTCTCCGCAGCACAAAGCGACAGGCAGGCGGGCGCCTTAAAGGCACACGCTCCATTTTCAAAGGGAACCTCTGCGCAGAGGAAACGCCGGGGCCCCTGGGGCCAAACAGATCCCCAAATCAGCCCACCGAGCTGAGGAGGATGATGCCTAATGAGCGACCTTAAAACCTCTCTGAGGAGCAGCGATAGGAGAAGCGTGCGTAAAACTCGCTCCAACACGTGATCTGGACTCTGTTTGCAGATCTGGAGCTTCTCCTCCCCGCCTGCGGGCCCTTTGTCTGCGCTCCTATCAGCGGCTTCCTGGATGCGCATCATTAGGTGAAAAGGGGCCAACCTGGAAGCTGTGAAGCTGACCAGGCGCCCCGCTGAGCGGCGACCCTTGGCTCATTTGTAGCCCACGGACGCGGGGCAGTGATGCCAACTGAGCTCCACAGGTGTTTCAAGGGGTTTACTGCTGCAGCTCCAGCATGCAGCACATCAGCCTGCAGCTCAATCATGCAGGACACCAGCCTGCAGCTCCAGCATGCAGCACATCAGCCTGCAGCTCAATCATGCAGGACACCAGCCTGCAGCTCCAGCATGCAGCACATCAGCCTGCAACTCCAA